CCAGGGAAGGGATCCCTGGGATCCTGGATTGTCCAGGGAAGGGATCCCTGGGATCCTGGATTGTCCAGGGAAGGGATCCCCTGGGATCCCCTGGGATCCTCTGCACAGCCCCAGAGCCAGGGAAGGGATCCCCTGGGATCCTGGACTGTCCAGGGAAGGGATCCCCTGGGATCCCCTGGGATCCTCTGCACAGCCCCAGAGCCTGGGAAGGGATCCCCTGGGATCCTGGATTGTCCAGGGAAGGGATCCCCAGGATCCTGGATTGTCCAGGGAAGGGATCCCTGGGATCCTGGATTGTCCAGGGAAGGGATCCCCAGGATCCTGGATTGTCCAGGGAAGGGATCCCCCGGGATCCCCCGGGATCCTCTGTGCCCACCCAGCAGCCCCACCCTGCCCTGGAGCGCTCCTGGAGCTCGGCAGGGTTGGGAATGTTGCCATTCCCTGGGAGCCCTGTGGGGCAGAACCTTCCCTGAGATCCATCCCACATCCCCAGCTCCAGCCCCACTCGCTTTTCCCAAGTCCAGTTTCTGGAATTTGTTCATTTTTTGGGAAGGGTTTGTTCCAGCCCCGCTTCTCCCCTCTCTGGTGTGAATTTTATTGTTCATTTTCAGCTCTTGCACCTCTCAGAAGGTTTTTCCTGTCCTGTCCTGGGCTCCTCCCGTTGGTGTTGATCCTTATCCTGGAGCGGAGAGGCAGCGGGAGATGTTCCTTACATTGGGATAACAAAGAAAGAGCCGCAGGTCCGGCTTTGTTCTGTAATATTCCCCACACAAAAGGAGCTGTGCCTTCATTTGCACCTCCTGCATGAGGTGTGTGAGTGCAGGGAGGACAAGGGCTGATCCAGCAAAAGCCAGGGAATGTTCCCGGAGGAGAGCAGGGATTTGTTCAGGAGGGGGAGCAGGGCAGGGAGGGCTCGGTGCTGGCACAGCTGAGGGGTCCCAAAGCTGCCGGGACCGAGCACATCCAGTGTCCAGGGAACTGCTGAGCTCTGCAGGGACTGCATTTGGATGGCATTTGGGGCAGGAATTGTTCCCTGGCAGGGTGGGCAGGCCCTGGCACAGGGTGCCCAGAGCAGCTGGGGCTGCCCCTGGATCCCTGGCAGTGCCCAAGGCCAGGCTGGACACTGGGACAGTGGGAGGTGTCCCTGCCATGGCAGGGGTGACACTGGAGGGGCTCTGGGGTTCCTCACACCCAAATTTTTCCATGATTCCATGATTTTGTGGTTCTGGGGCACTTCAGCCCTCCTCCTGGAGGAGTTTCCAGAGACAGGAGGATCCTGGCCGGGCTCCTGCTCTGGCTGAGCTGCCCCAGGATTCCATCACCCGCAATTCCCAACTGCAGGAAGCAGCTTCAGAACCTTTGAAATCACCCTGTAAATATCACCCTGTGAAATATCACCCTGTGAAATATCACCTGTGATATCACACTGTGAAATCACCCTTCACATGGCAGCTCTCTGCTCCCTGTTCCTCTGCTGGTCACTCTCCTGCTGGCGCTTCCCTGCTGACCATTCCCCTGCTGACCATTCCCCTGCTGACCATTCCCCTGCTGACCATTCCCCTGCTGACCATTCCCCTGCTGACCATTCCCCTGCTGACCATTCCCCTGCTGACCATTCCCCTGCTGACCATTCCCCTGCTGACCATTCCCCTGCTGACCATTCCCCTGCTGACCATTCCCCTGCTGACCATTCCCCTGCTGACCATTCCCCTGCTGACCATTCCCCTGCTGACCATTCCCCTGCTGACCATTCCCCTGCTGACCATTCCCCTGCTGACCATTCCCCTGCTGACCATTCCCCTGCTGACCATTCCCCTGCTGACCATTCCCCTGCTGACCATTCCCCTGCTGACCATTCCCCTGCTGACCATTCCCCTGCTGACCATTCCCCTGCTGACCATTCCCCTGCTGACCATTCCCCTGCTGACCATTCCCCTGCTGACCATTCCCCTGCTGACCATTCCCCTGCTGACCATTCCCCTGCTGACCATTCCCCTGCTGACCATTCCCCTGCTGACCATTCCCCTGCTGACCATTCCCCTGCTGACCATTCCCCTGCTGACCATTCCCCTGCTGACCATTCCCCTGCTGACCATTCCCCTGCTGACCATTCCCCTGCTGACCATTCCCCTGCTGACCATTCCCCTGCTGACCATTCCCCTGCTGACCATTCCCCTGCTGACCATTCCCCTGCTGACCATTCCCCTGCTGACCATTCCCCTGCTGACCATTCCCCTGCTGACCATTCCCCTGCTGACCATTCCCCTGCTGACCATTCCCCTGCTGACCATTCCCCTGCTGACCATTCCCCTGCTGACCATTCCCCTGCTGACCATTCCCCTGCTGACCATTCCCCTGCTGACCATTCCCCTGCTGACCATTCCCCTGCTGACCATTCCCCTGCTGACCCTTCCCTGCTGGTGACTCTCCTGCTGACCATTCCCTGCTGGTGACTCTCCTGCCTGGATTGTTTGGATTCCTGGTGAGGTTATCAAGGCACAAAAATCCCTCTTTGGTAGCTGAGTCTGGAATATTTTTCATTAAATATTCATTGAAATGGTTCAAAACCTGATTTAAATGTCTGTGGGTGTTTGCAGGCTGTTTTCTCGTGGCTCCCAGGAGTGTCTCAGCCAGGCAAACCCAGCCCTGGCCCTTTTTGTGCCCTTGGGAAGGAGGAGTTTGGGCAGGGAGGTTGAGCTCACACAGATCCTCTTGCCAGGCCTCCTGTGTGTGTTATTTCACAAATAATTCAGTTTTTATCCCTGGGGTCCCCTGAGCCAGGTGTGTTTCTGTCCTGCTCATAGCAGCAAACCCAGGTGTTTCCAGAAGATATTCCCCAAAAATGGATCAATGGCCTCAGGAAATGGCCAGGCCTGGAGGGGCTGGGACAGTCAGAACGTGCAGCTGCAGAATTGCCTCAGCTGTGTGAAAAACGAGGTTCACATAATTTTTATAGAATTTAAAAGTTTAATAAAAAAACAGTTAGGAGATAACAATAAAGTATACAGGCACGGCCGGATGTCTCTGCATTCAGCTAAGAGAGCACACCTTACTAACAAAGGATTGTGTCTTAAAAACAGAACTCTGCTACATATCCATAAATTCTCATACATATTCATACATTCTTCTTAGGATCTTTGGTGTTCTTCTGTTTAGTTTTCTCTTGCCCCCTTCCCAATAGATCAATCCTCTTGGCACCATCGAGATTTACATTCCCTGATACCAGAAATGCAATAAATTCCTCCCCCCAGAGCTCTTGTCGCTGCTGTCTTCATCTGGATAAGATAGTTTACAAATGCAGGAGTTCTCCATCTATTTTTTTTTTCTCAGTCTTTGGGCTATACAAACAAAGACAGTTTTTATTTTAATACTATGCCATAGCCTAACATAAATGTATTATACCACTATTTCTAAATTCCATCAATAACAGAAATAAAAAAACTATGTTAATACAACAAAATTTCTCATTCTTATACACATAACATTCATCTTAATATTTGCGAAAAGCCAACAATATAAAATGTATCTATAACAGCTGGAAAAGTCCTCCAAGGTCGAGTCCAACCTCTGATCTTCATCTTGGACTCCTTTAACCAGGTGTTCCAGGGCTTTTCCCTGTGCCTTCCTCCCTGCTGGGAAGGACTGAGCTGGAAAACTGGGGACACTGGGGGCTCAGGGCCAGGAGCAGCTGTGGAAATGCCCAATAAAAGCAGGTGGCAAACGGGGAATTGCATCCATTGTCTCACAAATACTGAGGAGCTGTTTCTGTGTCCAGGGAAATCATGGATCTCCCCAGGAGGAACATCCCAGCCTAATGGGACAGAAGAATCCATTTGGTGGTGGCAGGCTGTGTTTGGAGGAGAATGAAACGTGCAGTGTAACTGTTCCAGGGCAAATCTGCCCCGAGTCAGGATGGGAAGTGTTTTTTCCCTGAAATCCTGGCTGGAGAAGGAGGCAGGAGTTGCTACAGGGCACAGGTGCTCTGTGATTTGGGGTGTGTGACATCCAGGGGTGTTCCCTGCTGTGCTGGGTGTGTCTGTGCATTACCGGGCTCTGAAGGTGTGGGGTGAGCTGAGCTGGGCTCTGAGGGAAGGAGGAGCAGGATCCCTGTGGCTGCACCAGGAATATCGGGAGACAAAGGCTGGGAATGCTCAGGCCCTCCCCAGAGTCCTGGAAGCAGCTCCTGGTGCTGCTCCTTCCTGGCACTGCCACGGGACACAGGGATGGGCTTTTCCCGAGTGCTGGGCTGTTTCCTTTGGATTTTCTGCTCCCTGACAGGATCCCTGTGTGTGCTGGGCTGTTTTCCATTGGATTTTCTGCTCCCTGACAGGATTCCTGTCACTTTTAGGTTGTTCCCATTGGTTTTTCTGCTCCCTGACAGGATCCCTCTCAATATTGGATTGTTTTCTTGTTCTTCTGCTCCCTGACAGGATCCCTGTCACTTTTGGATTATTTCCATTTGTTTTTCTGTTCCCTGACAGGATCCCTGTCACTTTTGGATTATTTCCATTTGTTTTTCTGTTCCTTGACAGGATCCCTGTCAGTTTTGGGTTGTTCCCATTTTTTTCTGTTCCCTGACAGGGTGTCTGTCACTTTTGGGTTGTTCCCATTGTTTTTCTGTTCCCTGACAGGATCCCTGTCACTTTTGGGTTGTTCCCATTGGTTTTTCTGCTCCCTGACAGGATCCCTGTCACTTTTGGGTTGTTCCCATTGTTTTTCTGTTCCCTGACAGGATCCCTGTCACTTTTGGGTTGTTCCCATTGTTTTTCTGTTCCCTGACAGGATCCCTGTCACTTTGGGGTTGTTCCCATTGTTTTTCTGTTCCCTGACAGGGTGTCTGTCACTTTGGGGTTGTTCCCATTGTTTTTCTGTTCCCTGACAGGATCCCTGTCACTTTGGGGTTGTTCCCATTGTTTTTCTGTTCCCTGACAGGATCCCTGTCACTTTTGGGTTGTTCCCATTGTTTTTCTGTTCCCTGACAGGGTGTCTGTCTCTTGCAGCCCCCCCAGGCCCGTGAGTAACATGAACGAGGCCATGGTGACCCACGTCTCCTCCGGAGCGCCCACGCCAACCAAAAGGTACCGGAGCCTCAGGCTGGGGTTATTCCTGGGGAAGGGATGGAATTCCCACTGCTCCAGCTCTCCTGAGGGAGGATCCTGTGCAGGAATTGCTGTGTTCTCTCCAAAGAGTGGTTCTTATTGACTGAGCTGATGGCACATGGCTGCGAGTGAGGAAATGCCCGGATGGATTTTGCCTTTCCTCGAACTGGAATTGACTCCCCGAGCTGGGAGAGGCCGGTCCTGTGTCCCAGGCTGCTCCCCCTGTCCTGGTGTGTCACCTCTCACGGTGGCCCTGCCCTGCCTGGGAGGGGTGTCTGGGCTGGGGCTGAGCTGGGATTGCATTTTGTGTGGATCAGGTGTGTGAGTGAGCAGGAAAAGCCCCGAACGCTGAATTCCACTTTCCTCTCCTAAGGAACAGATCCAAGGGGAGCAGCTTGGCAGAGCTGGGGAGGAGTAAATAAATATTCCTGCAGGGAATGGGGAGCTGAGCTGGCCCTTGCAGTGGCCAGGGGTGCTCAGAGGCGAGGCAGAGCCCACATCTCCAGCAGCTCCAGGCAGAACTGAGATTCCTGGGTTTTCCTTCTGCTCTCCTTGACAAAACAAGTCCCATCTGGGGCTCCAAAGATCCTGCACTGAAATTCTCCCCAGGCTGCCTGTAAATCCTTCCTTGGGGTTTGTGCCCTGGCTCTGGGGGTCCCTGGGGGCTCTCGGGATGCTCCTGGACACGGAGCCTGAGCTTCCCCGTGGGAGGTGGGAACAGCCAGCCCGGCTGTGCTGGGATCCAGCAGGAATTCCTGCCTGGAAAGGGAGCTCAGGCCTTGGCAGGGGCTGCCCAGGGAGCTGCTGGAGTCTCATCCCTGGAGGTGTGCAGGGAATTCCTGGATGTGGCACTCAGAGCTCTGGGCTGGGGACAAGGTGGGGATCAGGCACAGCTGGGGCTCCATGGGCTGGGAGGGATTGTCCAGGTTTTCCAGCCTCAGGGACTCAGGGATTCAGGGACTCAGGGATTCAGGGACTCAGGGATTCAGGGATTCAGGGACTCAGGGATTCAGGGATTCAGGGACTCAGGGATTCAGGGATTCTGGCTGCTGAGGGTGCCCTGGATCCCTGGCTGTGCCATTCCCAGGCTCAGTGACTCCCTCTGGCCCCCGGTGGTCCCGAGGCAGGTGGGAGCAGCCCTGGGGAGCCGGCAGTGCCGGGGAATTGCAGTCTCTGTCTCCTGCCCCGCCTGCAGGAGGCTCCAGGGGTCTCTCAGCACATCCCCATCCGCTTTTTGGGGTGGAATTTCCCGGTTTTGGGAGCGCTGTGGGATCATCCATCATTGCACTGGCTCTGTCCCTGGTATCCCCCTCCCTTCCAGCCCGGGGCAGGACAGAGCTGAGGGAGGGGAGGGCTCCTTGCCGTGTGTCCCCGTGTCCCACAGCCCAGCCTGAGCACGGAGCTGGCCCCAGGATTTACTGCAGCTCCTCCTGCCCCTGCTGCAGGGGCACAGCACTGACTGAAATGAAAGGGTTCTGCACATCCTGGCACCTGCAATTGCAGCTGGAGGGGGCTGGGAGCTGCATTTCTGTGTCTGGAGCTGCTCACAGCAGCCACTTCCCCTGGATTCTGCTGGAAAGGGAGGTTGGGTGCACGGCTGGGATGCAGCTGCTGCTCCGTGAGCGATGGTGCCGCACACACAGAGAGGGATGCTCACCTGGAGGAGCGAGCTCCAGCCATCCCTGAGCCCCCTCAGCCCTGAGAAACACTGACAGGGCATCAGCAGAGACTCCCAGAAACCTCCTGGATCTCTCTGGTTCACACTGGGAGCTGGAGGTCACATCCTGCCGAAAGCCTTCCCATCCCGAGGGCATCCTGAACTGTTTGTGGCTCCATCAGAGCTCCTCCAGCTCCCACCAGGACACCAGGGAATCCAGGAGGATTTCCCCAAAATGTGGAGCAAATGTCACACAGTTTGTTTGAAGGAAGTTTTGGAATTAGGAGTAAATGGGCACCTTGGGAATTCCTTGGGAAAGAGAACTGCTCCTGCAATCTGCTGGGAAGTGGAGGGGGGTCCCTGGAGAGGGATCCAGGGAGAGCTCAGAGCCCCTCCAGGGCCCAAAGGGGCTCCAGGAGAGCTGGAGAGGGACTGGGGACAAGGGCTGGAGGGCCAGGAGCCAGGGAATGGCTCCCAGTGCCAGAGGGCAGGGCTGGATGGGATTTGGGGCAGGAATTGTTCCCTGGCAGGGTGGGCAGGCCCTGGCACAGGGTGCCCAGAGCAGCTGGGGCTGCCCCTGGATCCCTGGCAGTGCCCAAGGCCAGGCTGGACACTGGGACAGTGGGAGGTGTCCCTGCCATGGCAGGGGTGACACTGGAGGGGATTTAAGGTCCTTTCCCTCCCAGCCCAGTCTGTAACTCCATGGACCATCCCACGGTGCTCCCCAGGGAGCTTTGTGCTCTCTGTTGCCCCCATGAATGTGTGGCATTGATCCCATCCCAGCCATGTCCCTGCTCCAGGACAGGGCCCTGCCAGGGTGACAGAGCACAGGGACCCCCCTGTCCCCTCTGGGCCAGCCCTGCAGGGCCCCCTCCCCTCCCTGGCCGGGGCAGGGTCTGCACCCAGAGCTCCTGCTCAGCACCAAGGCACAAAAGCTGTCCCCAGGGGCTGCCTGTGGCAGAACAAAGGCTGCATTCCTTTCCCTGCTTTCCCAGGAGCCTGGAGACGGCTCAGGCCGTGCCTGGGGGCTGGAGCGTGTTCCTGCAGCCCCAGACTGGGGGATGTGATGGCACCTGCCTGGACACCTCTCCACAGCCCCCTGCCTGCAGAGATTCCCCTGCCATTCACCTTGCCTGGGGTTATTTGCACTCCCTGATGCTCTGCTGCTCTTTATTTGCTTTGTCCTGCAGCATTGGGGGTCTGTGGGCACGGCTGGCAGTGCCCAGCCTTTGGAGCAGAACCCCCAGAACCTGGCTCCCCCCTCTCAGTGTCACTGAGGCTGTCCCTTGGGTTGATTTGTGTCCCCCAGAGTGGTTTTGGTTTGCTTGGCAGCTCAGTTGTGCTGGTGGCAGGTTCCAGTGTGCCTTCCCTGCCTTCCCTCGTCCACACTGACCTCCCCCCGAGGGGGCTGGCACTCCTGGCACTGCCGTTTTCCTTGGACACAGGTGGGGAAAATCCCTTTCACTCAGCTTCCCCAACCTCTGGGACCTCTGGAGATCCCAGCTCATGTTTAGCCATCCTTTCAGCTCCAGGATTTTGGGGCAGAGGGTTTGGGTGCAGGGGTGTAGGCAGCTTTGTGCCATCAGCCATCCTGCATCCCACAAGGGCCAGGACAGACCTTCCTAACACCAGAACGGGCTTTCTTGTCAGAAAAGGGATACAAACCCCTCTTTGTGGAGACAGGGGAGGTCCCAGCTGTCCCAGGTGACAGAGGGACAGGGCAGGAGCAGGGAGGGTGGCAGGGGAACGTCCCAGTACCTCCAACAGGGGATCAGGGGAAACGTGGGGAGAAAGAGGAGAAATGCTGGGGTGGGGATGTGGCCGAACTCAGACTGTGCTGGGGACAGCCCTGGGGCTGGGGACAGAGCCAGAGCCACAGGCAGGTCACTGGGGACAGGGTCACTGTGTGGGGACAGTCACTGTGATGAGGACAGGGTCACTATGTGGGGACAGGGTCACTGTGTGGGGACAGTCACTGTGATGAGGACAGGGTCACTGTGGGGGGACAGTCACTGTGATGAGGACAGGGTCACTGTGGGGGGACAGTCACTGTGATGAGGACAGGGTCACTGTGGGGGGACAGTCACTGTGATGAGGACAGGGTCACTGTGGGGGGACAGTCACTGTGATGAGGACAGGGTCACTGTGGGGGGACAGTCACTGTGATGAGGACAGGGTCACTGTGGGGGGACAGTCACTGTGATGAGGACAGGGTCACTGTGGGGGGACAGTCACTGTGATGAGGACAGGGTCACTGTGGGGGGACAGTCACTGTGATGAGGACAGGGTCACTGTGGGGGGACAGTCACTGTGATGAGGACAGGGTCACTGTGGGGGGACAGTCACTGTGATGAGGACAGGGTCACTGTGGGGGGACAGTCACTGTGATGAGGACAGGGTCACTGTGGGGGGACAGTCACTGTGATGAGGACAGGGTCACTGTGGGGGGACAGTCACTGTGATGAGGACAGGGTCACTGTGGGGGGACAGTCACTGTGATGAGGACAGGGTCACTGTGGGGGGACAGTCACTGTGATGAGGACAGGGTCACTGTGGGGGGACAGTCACTGTGATGAGGACAGGGTCACTGTGGGGGGACAGTCACTGTGATGAGGACAGGGTCACTGTGGGGGGACAGTCACTGTGATGAGGACAGGGTCACTGTGGGGGGACAGTCACTGTGATGAGGACAGGGTCACTGTGGGGGGACAGTCACTGTGATGAGGACAGGGTCACTGTGGGGGGACAGTCACTGTGATGAGGACAGGGTCACTGTGGGGGGACAGTCACTGTGATGAGGACAGGGTCACTGTGGGGGGACAGTCACTGTGATGAGGACAGGGTCACTGTGGGGGGACAGTCACTGTGATGAGGACAGGGTCACTGTGGGGGGACAGTCACTGTGATGAGGACAGGGTCACTGTGGGGGGACAGTCACTGTGATGAGGACAGGGTCACTGTGGGGGGACAGTCACTGTGATGAGGACAGGGTCACTGTGGGGGGACAGTCACTGTGATGAGGACAGGGTCACTGTGGGGGGACAGTCACTGTGATGAGGACAGGGTCACTGTGGGGGGACAGTCACTGTGATGAGGACAGGGTCACTGTGGGGGGACAGTCACTGTGATGAGGACAGGGTCACTGTGGGGGGACAGTCACTGTGATGAGGACAGGGTCACTGTGGGGGGACAGTCACTGTGATGAGGACAGGGTCACTGTGTGGGGCCAGTCACTGTGTGGGGACAGTCACTGCTCATCCTGACGGTGCTCTGGGGACACCCTTGACCCTCCCTGCTCTCTCTGCCCCTGCCCAGCTGCTGC